ATGCGTGTGTTTGTGTGTGAATATATATATATATATATGTTTGTGTGTGTGTGTGATTGTGTGTGAGTGTGTGTGACACGGGTGTTTATGTGCGTGTTTGTGTTTGTATGTGTGAGTTCGTGCGTGCGTGTGTGCGTGCGTGTGATTTTAGTTCAATGTTTTGTATAAAAGTAACTATGTGATGATATTGTTTCTTTCGCTTCATATCCGTATATGTAAGTTTTGTATGCTGGGATATACAAACATGGTATTTGTACTCGTTTATGGTTGTGTAGTTTTAATTGAGATTATTCACACGACCGTACATCGGTGACTACTTGATTGATAGTTGTACATGAGTGCATATGGGTTAGTGTATGTGTATGCCAATGTTAACGTATGTGTTATATATTATTCAACCTTGCGCCATTGAGGTCTTATCCACCGTGCGCGGCATACCGACGGAGAGAGCAACCGCATAGAATGTAGCTCAGTCATATTCGACAAATCCCTGTTCTGTGGTACATCTACTCTATTTTAACCACTCACACCACACTTTCGAGTTGGTCTCAACGCAGTTATCACCAATCAGCCTCGAACACACACAAAAACACTCTCATACTTGAATATACACCCGTGCTATAGTCACTTTCGACCCATAACGTATACTTTTGTCGATGTACCTGGCATATCTGTTCACGGCTAAAAATGTGTAGTACCATTCTCATAATATTAAGAATAGAACTAACCCCAAGGCCGCTGGTATGGTGGATCTCAAGATAGACTCTGTTTTAAAATATACAGTATTTATGAATATTTATTTACAATCAATATTTACTTCAAACCTCCAGCGGCAAGCCCTCCATAGAGACTACCGAGAGACCGAAGAATTCAAAACAAAAAAAAAAGAGCGAACCTGAACGATCGCCATGGTTTCTCTGTACCGAACTTCGAAAGTTCTGGCTAGGCTTTTTTTTTTCAAGCCACTATTGTTTGTTTATTTATTTTATTTAAAACAAATACTGTAAATAAATACTGGTGACTCGTCAGTCGTCACTCGAGAAAATATATTCTTTTTACGTTTTTTATTTATTTTTATAAAATAAACAATATTTTATTTTAAATACCTATTTATTTGTTTTGTGCGGAGATAATTGGTAGCAATTATTTATTTATGTAGTATACTGCGCGAATGCGTTATGGTCACCCTCGCGTGCAAATGCATTATGGTCATCCTCGCGTGCGAATGGTCTCATTCTGTTTGTGTTTTACTGTACGAATAGTGACATGCCTGATCATCAGTACATGCCATCGGTTCTAGATACCATCTGTGCAGGTAATGATTGTCATTCGTTGTATTCACTCAATTGTCCTTGTAACATTGGTTCTACATCGAATTGCGGCCGGTCAATACACCCTATTGTTTTGTGATCTGGTAATATTTTCAGTCTCAATACTTTCGTACAGTGTTTCGGCCGCTGTGAATGCGAAACTATTACAAGGAGAAATTTTACATTGTGCATCTCCCTCGGTGATCGATCTTGTTCTTTGCTGACTATTCATGCATGAGCTTCCCAACGGTACTGGCATCGAGTGACTGGGAAGAAACCCATACCTAACCCCAGTTTGTATGCAACCGAAACAATCATCAGGCGAGTTACTCTGTTTGGATGTATGATTGCTCTGACGCTGGGGAGCCTGCTGGCGACCACGAGAGTGGATTTTCCTAGATCTAGGATTCAATTCTATCTTCAGGCATGCCATTTTTCTATTCCGGTACGATTTGGAGCATATGAACTGAGCCAAATCGAGGGGGAAGAAGCTCACTGGACTGTTGGTAATCATTTGCTGACCTGATTAAGTTGAAGTCGAGAGAATATAAATTATGGTTGTGTACAAATATCAGTGTCGAACTGATGAAGTCAACTATAAACATACTATTGGTAAATGACACGTATCCTTTGAAATTACAGTGAATACTTCATTTTTGAAGCTCATATCAAAGGTCATGCACAAGTCAATACATACCATCCAAGGCCACCAGGTACACTACAGGTGTGTATCGATGATTTGGGTATAAGAATACATCGCGCGTGTTTTTAAGATCTGAAGTGAGCCTCAGGTTTTGAAACGAAATCGGCTTTTCCATCCACTTGTCACCTGGAGCTGTAATCCACTGGTGGCAATATAATTCCATTTGGGGGTGATCAATTGGCTCATTGATGGTATCGTCCACGTCATTGACTTTCCATTTCATTTCCTGCGGGCACCATGTCCAGGCATTCCCATCCCGTTGAAAATGCACCCAGATGGCGTAAGAGGTACTTTTTTCAAGACCACTAATACGTACGCTTATTGGTGGCGACATTTGCCTACCGCTTTCGTTAACTATCATCTCTGTGGTTTCCGTGTGAAGTTTCTGCCATATCTTGGGTCTGCACAATTCCAATGCCACGATGTCCATAGCCGTACAAGCAACACCCTCTGGGTGTTTGCTTACTGATTGTTCATTTTCTTCGACGAGTGACTCTAGCCTTCTATATTTGGGCGATCCAGGTAAATCGGTTTTGTACTGTTCCTTATTCTCGGGATCATACATATTAAAATTTTGAGCGTTCATGGAAAATGGATACGTAGTGGTCACACGGTCGCCAATTTTTTTATCGCGATTTGATGCCTGTATGTTGCAAATGGTAGGACCAGCATAGGTGGGTATGTATTTAAGATTTCGGTCTATTTTGGAGATGCTCGAAGCACCAGGCCCAAATTCAAATATACTATCCACCCTCATGTTTGTCTGTTGCCCGTTATAGTCGTGAATATTAAAAGTGAAGGGTCTGTATTTATATTGTTTCGCCAGCCAAAAAAACTGGCTTTTGGGAAGATTGAGGAATTTGCGTATCAAAGTCACCTGGCACGGAACGGTCGTGCGCAAAGGTCCAAAGGAGCAATAGATCAGCAGTTCGTTAAAGATTTGCCTCGCTCTCTGGAATGAGAAATTGCTGCCCTGGTATAATTTACGTTAAAACTCAAACGTTATGTAATATTTTTTATTTATTTTATATGATGCGATTAAATAAAACAAATAAAGAAAAAAAACAAAGTTTAAATACTAAGGTCAGGGGTTTGTTCTGATCCCTAACCGTCATAAGTAAAATAGAACGCCCACTCGCCGAGCCATGGCTCTAAACAGGTTGTGCTGTCCGTGGCCAAAATAGTGAGGTAGGTGTATTTACATAGTTTTTTTCTCGCCCAAGTGCCATCGGTGATTCGGCCCAACTTTCCATTTGATATTTAAAAAAGAAAAAGGATATAGATCCATTTTTCATATATTGCTCGAGGAACGTTTTCGAGAAAAACAGTAACACAGTCACACACAAACACGCACTCTCTCTATTTTTTCTTAAAAAATGTCAGGCAGCAGACCGCCACAGTTCTGTATAAATATTGAAATGTATCACGTGCGTGCGGATTGCAGAATATATTGCTCAAAGACTGATGCAGTGATGTACTGTACTGAAAATATATCTGATCGTGTGAATAATTTTTTTGTTGACAATATATACCACAGCTATAGGCCGTGCTCTGGTTGATTTGCTTTTTTAAAACAAAATAGTAGGATATGTTACACCCCAAAACCAAAACAACGCAGCTTATTTGTTTTGTCTTTTTATATTTCCTATTTTATATATTTAAAAAAAACCCCCCGAAACAATATTTACATATTATCTTGTTTTATAAAGCCGGTGTTTTACATAATTTTATATTTGTTTTAAAAAAAGTGCTTCATATTTAAATAAAATATGGAATTGTAGAGTATAAATGTCTCCTCAATATTTACATATTTACCAGCCACCAGTACAGTTTGCGACAGTCTTTTTGACGATTGCTATGTTTTTAAAATAAATAAATAATAGATATCATATGTAGAACCTTCTGTGATTTCTATCAGAAGGCGATGTATAAAATAGTTAATATACACAAAAAATATTTACTGTTTTTTGTTTTGTCCTACTAAATATCGCCCACTGCTGGCATATTTAACGCCATTGCCCTTTGTTTTCCCGAATCACAACCAGTCATACTAATTTTAAATTTTTTTATTATTTACACTATAAATGGATCTTTTACGATTTCTATCAGAAGGCTATTTCATGTAGAAAGTCAAAAAAAATTGACAACCAAACAACTACAACTAGAACTGTTCTACGATTTCTATCGGAAGGTAATATCTTGTGAGGAGAACATAAATACTAAAATCGGCCTGTTTTTAACACAAACGAATAAATTGAACATAAAATATTTTATTTCCTTAAATTTGTTTTTTAAAAGAACAAAAGTAAATATAAATTTTAAAAAAAGTTAAAGTTTTGAACGTGATTTATTTTTTTTGCTCATGCAAAATACATATGTTCCCAGTTCCACGGCAAAACCTTATATAAATATAATTCTAAGTGATTTCTAACCCTAATACAAAACAAGAGTAATAGTGAATAAACCAAAACAAAACTTTGTAAAACAGCCGCATGGTCCGCAACCATAAAACTAAACAAAAAATTAGATATCTAATCCAATATTATTGTTTTATAAAAATGAGTACATAGTTGAGTACTATATACAGTCTTCAGGTCGGTGAAAGATCAGTGGAAATTGACATCATTGGTTTATTTGACAATAGGAATGTTCAGGATATCACGAGGTGGTTGTGAATTTGTCTATTAGTTTGAAACACCAATTGGAATTGTTCAGATATTCAATTCGTGATAGAGTATCGAGATGATTTTCAATTTTCGCACGCTCCTTGTTGGCTGTTGTGGAAGTTCAAGGCGTCAAGGCCAAGCCTTGTTACTTGTAGTACGTATTTTTTTAAAGAGAAGAGAAGAAATATATAATAACCATTATATATATATATAAAGATATAGAATCATATAGACATATATATAAATATGTATATATATATATGTACACATGTATACATAAATATATATAAACAAGTATATATATATAAATATATATATACATACATACATACATATATATATTTGTTTCTATCTGTATATATATACATACATATACATACACACACACACACAGATATATATATACATATATATATTCATATACAAATACACAACTTGCATATATATATATATATATATATATATATTCATACATACGTATATATACATTGTATATATTTATATATATATATACATATACAGATATTTATATGTATTCATATATATATATATATAATTCATATATATATATATACATATATATATATACTACACA